TTATAGGCTTTTTTGAGTTTGGGCAAGGACACAGGGGCCCCATGATCCCATATTGCCCGGGGGCCCCATGAGTTGTCAGCCCACCCCTGGTTGACACTGACCATGACACTGGATCCCCCATTTGTGGCTGATTGGCTTGGCCCTTGACATCTGATTCTGGGTTCCACCAAAAATGGGTTGAGCAAATTAATATATACTTATTGTTTTTTTTTACTAAAAATTTGTAGCAGAATACATTTTGGCCTAAATTTATGAAGAAATTAGATTTCTTAAAGTTTTTCGATGTTTTATAGCAGAAAGTAATCAACTGGATCAACTGTGGGTACAGAATTATACAGTTTTTTTTTTAATGGTTGAACTGGATGGTCTTTTTTGAGCCAGAATAACTATGTAATATGGTTTTTTTCTGTCACAATTTTCAGTCTGTTTTGTTTATATAATGAAAAATAAAAAACCCGGTGGTGCTCAAATATCACCAAAATAAAGCTCTATTTATGTGGAAAAAATGATAAAAAATTTAATTTGGGTACAGTGTTGCATGACTGTTGTCAAGTTAAAATAGCGCAGTGCTGAATACCAAAAAAATGGCCGGGTCATGAAGGAGTTAAAATCTTCCCGAGGTCAAGCGGTGAAATATTTGCCCATTCTTCAGGGCTCAAATATTGCATTGAGGAGGACTCAAAGGTGAACAAGAACAAAATAAGAGAAATAAGAGTAGCACCTACCAGGGGCGGACTGACAGCTCATGGGGCCCCCGGGCAATAGGGGATCATGGGGCCCCTGTGTCCTCGCCCACACTCAAAGCACACCCAAAAAAGCCTATAAAAGGTACCAGGAGCATTTCATGGGGCCCCCTACTGACCCCGGGCCCTCGGGCAGTGCCTGAGTGCTCAAATGGTCAGTCTGCCCCTGGCATCTACTGTCTTTTGTGTTGTCTGTGTCCCAGCTGTGGAGGTTCCCTCTCTATTTATGATGACCACTGTCCCCAAGGCAGAAATTGATGGGAAATCCAAAATATTACACTTGTCACCAAACAGGAGGTGACGGGAAATCTTCCAGGAAATTAAGCAAAAAAAAAAAAAAAAAAAAAAAACAAAACCTTACAGCTGGTTAACCATTCCCTACTCTATCCAAAAACAAGCAAAAATGGCCATTGAGACATTATAGAGAAAATGCGATGTGATCCTTTAGATCAGTGGTTCTCAACCTGTGGGTCGCGACCCCTTTGGAGGTTGAATGACCCTTTCACAGGGGTCACCTAAGACCATCGGAAAACACATATTTCCAAGGTGTAAAGAGCAGCTACTGTGTAGAAAGCAGCTACTGTGTTGAAAGCAGCTACTGTGTTGAAAGCAGCAGTATTGGAGGTAAAACGACACTCATGAATTATAATTACTGGGTAAATAATTTTATGGTTGGGGGGTCACCACAACATAAGGAACTGTATTAAAGGGTTGCGGCATTAGGAAGGTTGAGAACCACTGCTTTAGATCTATGTTTGCAGACTCTCAATTACAAAATGTATTTGTTGTGGTTTACATTTGAAAAAAAAAAATGCACTTTGGAACTACAATGTATTTTTTTGTTGGCGAATTATATTTGTGTTATATTCCTAAATATTTTTTGTATCTTATAAAAGAGATTTCAAGGAATAATGATCAACTTGTGTGCCCCTCTGAATTAAAAAAAAAATGGGTGTCCCCACTATATATAGCTACTACCTGGTATACAAAAGCGGCGCCCACATCCCATTGTGGTATTCAGTGACAGGTTGATGGGTCATGCCTCCTTGTTTAAGTAAGCAGTGTCCATAAGATGATGTCACACAGGCGATTCATTTAATTATGCATCACCAATTCACCAGCATCGGGATTTCTTAATCACTTGCTGCCCACTAACAGTACATTTACTGCTGGTGGGCGGCACAGCTAGGGCTGGCGCCTCATCCCTTTAAAACTGAACAAATATTAATGGCACAGGTTCTGATGCCAATTCAACTGCTGCCCTATAGCAGAATTATTGCTACAGGCCAGGAGGGCTGCGCAAAATCACATATATATACATGATTTTGCATTTCCGGGTAGGGGGCGCGGGTAGGAGCCCCCCCCAGTGTCAGAATGCCCGCCGCAGTCCCGCTATAAGTCGCTGATCGCCACCATTACTAGTATAACAAAAAAAAAAGAATTCCAGTACATATATACCTCCATTTGTAGACGCTATAACTTTCACGTAAACCAATTAATTTACATGTCTTGGAATTTTTTTTTTAACACAGACATGTAGCAGAATACATTTTGGCCTACATTTATGACGAAATTAGATTTTTTTTTTTTTTCCATTTTTTTTAACGGATATGTTTTATGGCAAAAAGTCAAAAAAATATTATTTTTTTCTACAAATTGTCAGTCTTTTTTTGTTTATAGAGCAAAAAATAAAAAATGCACAGGTGATCAAATACCACTGAAAGAAAGCTCTACAGTCAGGTCCATAAATATTGGGACATCGACACAATTCTAACATTTTTGGCTCTATACACCACCACAATGGATTTGAAATGAAACGAACAAGATGTGCTTTAACTGCAGACTGTCAGCTTTAATTTGAGGGTATTTACATCTAAATCAGGTGAACGGTGTAGGAATTACAACAGTTTGCATATGTGCCTCCCACTTATTAAGGGACCAAAAGTAATGGGACAATTGGCTTCTCAGCTGTTCCATGGCCAGGTGTGTTATTCCCTCATTATCCCAATTACAATGGGCAGATAAAAGGTCCAGAGTTAATTTCAAGTGTGCTATTTGCATGTGGAATCTGTTGCTGTCAACTCTCAAGATGAGATCCAAAGAGCTGTCACTATCAGTGAAGCAAGCTATCATTAGGCTGAAAAAAACAAAACAAACCCATCAGAGAGATAGCAAAAACATTAGGCGTGGCCAAAACAACTGTTTGGAACATTCTTAAAAAGAACGAACGCACCGGTGAGCTCAGCAACACCAAAAGACCCGAAAGACCACGGAAAACAACTGTGGTGGATGACTGAAGAATTCTTTCCCTGGTGAAGAAAAACACCCTTCACAACAGTTGGCCAGATCAAGAACACTCTCCAGGAGGTAGGTGTATGGTGTTTTGTCACCAATCAAGAGAAGACTTCACCAGAGTGAATACAGAGGGTTCACCACAAGATGGAAACCATTGGTGAGCCTCAAAAACAGGAAGGCCAGATTAGAGTTTGCCAAACAACATCTAAAAAAGCCTTCACAGTTCTGGAACAACATCCTATGGACAGATGAGACCGAGATCAACTTGTACCAGAGTGATGGGAAGAGAAGAGTATGGAGAAGGAAAGGAACTGCTCATGATCCTAAGCATACCACCTCATCAGTGAAGCATGGTGGTGGTAGTGTCATGGCGTGGGCATGTATGGCTGCCAATGGAACTGGTTCTCTTGTATTTATTGATGTGACTGCTGACAAAAGCAGCAGGATGAATTCTGAAGTGTTTCGGGCAATATTATCTGCTCATATTCAGCCAAATGCTTCACAACTCATTGGACGCTGCTTCACAGTGCAGATGGACAATGACCCAAAGCATACTGCAAAAGCAACCAAAGAGTTTTTTAAGGGAAAGAAGTGGAATATTATGCAATGGCCAAGTCAATCACCTTATCTGAATCCCTTTGAGCATGCATTTCACTTGCTGAAGACAAAACTGAAGGGAAAATGCCCCAAGAACAAGCAGGAACTGAAGACAGTTGCAGTAGAGGCCTGGCAGAGCATCACCAGGGATGAAACCCAGCGTCTGGTGATGTCTATGCATTCCAGACTTCAGGCTGTAATTGACTGCAAAGGATTTGCAACCAAGTATTAAAAAGTGAAAGTTTGATTTATGATTAATATTCTGTCCCATTACTTTTGGTCCCTTAATAAGTGGGAGGCACATATGCAAACTGTTGCAATTCCTACACCGTTCACCTGATTTTTATGTAAATACACTCAAATTAAAGCTGACAGTCTGCAGTTAAAGCGCATCTTGTTAATTTCATTTCAAATCCATTGTGGTGGTGTATAGAGCCAAAAATGTTAGAATTGTGTCGATGTCCCAATATTTATGGACCTGACTGTATTTGTGTGAAAATAAACGTAAATTTAATTTGGGTGCAGTGTTGCATGACCGCGCAATTGTCAGTTAAAATAATGCAGCGCCGTATCGCAAAAAATGGCCTGGTCAGGAAGGGGGATGAATCCTCTGGAGGGTAAGTGGTTAATGCAGATTAAGGCACTATGGTGTCGGTTTAGGACACAGAGAATAGCTGCGATTCAGAGGATCTCAGCTATTCTCTGGTCATTCACAGTTTATGACACTCAGGAGATCAGAGGAGAACATGTTCAGCTCTTCACTGGAGATCTGTGTTCTCCCTCCAGATTCTCCAGCCCAGAGCTGGAGAATCAGAGGAACCGCAAACTAAGCAGAGATAATTTACCTCTGCTTAGTAAACTGATCTTTTACTGTAATCTCGCGAGATTATAGCAAAATCAGCCATTTTCCAGAGTTTGTAGACCGTTCTCCCTTCGTTCGTTCGGAGAACTGATCTACATATGCTTCATAAACGGCATTCACAGGAGAATTGAGCAGCGATCATTTACCGCTGGTTCATAAATGGACACCTAAGTGAGTTTGGTTACCATCTTAATCAGCCACAGAACCTGTATAATTATTATGTGTTGGGGTTTAAAGGGATGAAGTGGCAACCCTAGGCACAGCCAGGCACCTCAACGTACCCGTACATCGCAGTGTGCTTCCTGGTTTAGAGGCGCACATGCACGCCCCATGCTGACCTGTGCTGTGATTGGACACAGCACATGTTTGTCAGCAGGTTACAGCCAATCATTTTGAATGTATACCTGTTGATGGCCAATCACAGCACAGATTTGTGTGCTTGTAAACACAGGCTCTGTCTGGATTTCCCCATGCCGTTCAGAACTGAGAGCATGGAGAGAAAGCCAGCCAGAACCGTGAGTAAAGGCAGCACACATACACTTGACAGGCACACAGTTAAAATGCTACAAAACAGACCCTGCATTCACTATATCTGGTCCCAGACCCTGCATTCACTATATCTGGTCTCCCCGGACCCTGCATTCACTATATCTGGTCTCCCAGGACCCTGCATTCACTATATCTGGTCTCCCAGGACCCTGCATTCACTATATCTGGTCTCCCTGGACCCCGCATTCTCTATATCTGGTCTCCCAGGACTCTGCATTCACTATATCCGGTCTCTCAGGACCCTGCATTCTCTAAATCTGGTCTGCCCGGACCCTGCATTCACTATATCTGGTCTCCCAGGACCCTGCATTCACTATACCCGGTCTCCCCGGACCCTGCATTCACTTATATATCACTATATATCCGGTCTCCCATGGACCCCTGCATATCACTAATATCTGGTCTCCCGGACCCTGCCGCTCCGCTCGGACCTGCTTCCCGGACCCCTGCATTCACTATATCTGGTCTCCTCAGACCCTGCATTCACTATATCTGGTCTCCCAGGACCCCTGCATTCACTATATCTAGTCTCCCCGGACCCTGCATTCACTATATCTGGTCTCCCCGGACCCTGCATTCACTATATCTAGTCTCCCAGAGTACACAGAACATGGAAATGCAATTATTTTATTAAATATAAATTGCTAAATACCTTTTCTCATCAGCAGTTAGAGCAGTCTTGTGGCTTCTATCAGTGTCCAGCACAGCACAAGTTTAAGCTTGTAGGAGGTGTTTTCCTTTTGCTCAAGGAGGATGCAGAACCCCTGACCCCCTATGCTGATTGGCCCTGTGCTGATTACACGCATTCTCCCAAGAAAAAAAAAATACCTCTCTAGCAATACACACCAAACTGAGCATGTGCAGAGTGTCTCCACATGATATGTCTTATCAAGAGATAAGAGGGGGGCACTGGAAGAAGGGGATGATCAGAGAAGACAGGATTAAACATCTTTTTTACACAATGCAGAGGATTAACCCCTTAGGTTCCACAGTGAGTATAACAAGCATGCTTTACTGCATATACTGACTGATTTTACTGTTGTTGGTTTAGTAACCCTTTAACTCCTTTATTACCCTTCTGATCACCAATAGTATAGTGTCCCCAAAAATGCAGTGTTAGCTGGATCAGTCCACCCATCAGTGCCAGCACTTGCAACATGTAGCAGAATACATTTTGGCCTAAATTTGTGAAGAAAATGGATTTTATTGGATATGTTTTATAACAGAAAGTAGAAAAGTTCTGGGTTTTGTTTTCAAAATGTTCAGTCTATTTTTTTTTTGTTTATATAATATAAAATAAAAAACCCAGGGGTGATCAAATACCACCAAAAGAAATCTTTATTTGTGTGAAAAAAATTGATATAAATTTAATTTTGGTACCATGTTGCATGACCGAGCAATTGCCAGTTAAAGTATCACAGTGCTGATTAGCAAAACAAATGGCCTGGTCATGAAGGGGGTAATCCCTTTCTGGAGCTCAAGTGGTTAAAAGAGCACCTACCAGTCTCTATGGGATCTCTCCCTCACTTTCAGGGGCGGACTGACCATTTGATCACTCAGGCACTGCCCGAGGGCCCGGGGTCAGTAGGGGGCCCCATGAAATGCCCCCGGTACCCTTTTTATAGGCTTTTTTTGAGTGTGGGCAAGGACACGGGCCCCGTGATCCCCTTTTGCTGGGGGCCCCATGAGTTGTCAGTCTGCCCCTGCTCACTGTCCTCCACTAATGAGGTAGATTTGGCATCTTTTGGGGCCCAACATGGAAGGGATGTCTGTGTAAAACTGCATATATAATTGTGTTGTGCGAATGGGGTCAAACTCGAGTGTTACTAGGTTTTATTCAAGGTCAATGATTCTTCATGCAGTATGTTATTTTTTTCACCAGGTTAAATGTTCTTTGTAGAGTGGATCCAAAAATTCTGTATAATGGATACTATATAGAGCTGACAATCATATGAAATAAATATTTACTATGATCGTCCGCTCCATCCAGTGGCCATAATGCAATATTCTCCTGATTTAGTGTACGAAGAACATTTGACCTTGAGAGAAAAGAGCCTAACAACATTCAATGTTGCCCCCAGTGGCAGACTGACAACTCATGTGGCCCCCGGGCAATAGGGGATCATGGGGCCCCTGTGTCCTTGCCCAAACTCAAAAAAAAAAAAAGGATAAAAAGGTACCGGGGCATCTCATGGGGCCCCCTACTGACCCCGGGCCTTCTGGCAGTGTCCGTGTTTCCAAATGGTCAGTCCGCCCCTGGTTGCCCCATTCACACAGTAGTTTCACAGGACCAATAGTTCTGCAATCTTTTAAATAAATACACCCTTTAGTCTGCTACAGCACTGTGTATCATAAACAATTAACTTTCTTTTTTCCACAATGTATTGCGGTAATTTTTTTTTCTGCATATTTGCTGATTTAGGCGCTTCCTGTCTATATGCTCTCTGTCCAGCTGCACATGATTTCTCTGGCTTCCTGATAGTGACAACAGTGGACGATAAATGATATAAGAGTGCGGCCAGTGGTGTATTTATTTATTTATTTCAGGTACTTGTATAGCGCCATCAATTTACGCCGCACTTTACATATATATTGTACATTCACATCAGTCCCTAACCCTCAAGGGGCGTACAATCTAAGGTCCCTAACTTACATTCATACACATACTAGGACCAATTTAGACAGAAGCCAATCAACCTACCAGCATGTCTTTGGAGTGTGGGAGGAAACCGGAGTACCCGGAGGAAACCGGAGTACCCCCATGCAGGCACAGGGAGAACATGCAAACTCCAGACAGGTGGTGCTATGGTTGGGATTTGAACCAACGATGCTAGTACTGCCAGGCGGAAGCGCTAACCATTTAGCCACTGCGCTGCCCTAGGCAACACAAAAATCTGGGCCCCCCCACAAAGAGCCCGACTTTGACCAAGAACACCCCTGCCCACCACCCAAAACAGCCTTCCACTATCATTGCCCCCCATACACCAGCCACCATCCCTCATGGTGAGAGAGAGAGAAAGTCACCTTCACAGCTCTGGACATCCCCAGGAACGAGAGTCGGGCTGTGCATACAACGTCATGAAACCTGCAGCTTCTTTTGGAACCCACCAGGTCCCCATGCCGTATGTGTCCTTTCTTCCGTCCCTTCTTCCGAGGGGCTGTGCTGCCCCCCCAGAAAAATACCGCCCTTGTGGTAAATACACCCCTGAGTACGGCGCTCAAGATATCTACAACATATGGAAGTAAAAGTCCAATTAGTGTATAATAAGAATGTAATAAGCCCCTCTTCATAGGGACATCTATAGCGTCATATATGCTTCTATCTGTACAAGAAAATATATAGGAGATCCACCATCACCAACCCCAGAAAACTCTGCCTCTTACCAGAAGAAGTTGACCCCCATTTACAGACGGGGTCAAAATGCGCAATGGGAATTCTCAAGGGAATGGCATGAACCAGGATATGTGTTAGCTTGGAAGGAGCAAGGATGGATCCCCGTTGTGCAAGGATAAGCACCCGCAGACCTAATTCCAACAGCAAACCGTGCTCAGAATATTGATAGCTGCCCAAAACTTGAACTCCAAAAGTCAGATGGAAGAATTAAACCTGTAAAACATGAATTCTCCTCACAGAGGACAATTCAATTCCAAAGGTAGAAAAATACTTCATAGTGTAGTATTTCCAGAAAGATTTATTGCCTCAAAGCGTACTATAAAACGTACATCAAAAAATTAAAAAAACAGCATGGCCGCCATGTTCAGGTACGTGCTGATGTCACGCGTTCTGGCTCATCCCACTGTGGACGATGCTTGTGTGTTGGTTTGGCCGGGTGTAGTCTCCACCAAGGTCACATGTCCCAGGGTGGCAATAGCTGAGAGACAATAGTCACATTTTGATGGGAAGTGCCTGGACAAGGACATTCATGGTAGGATCACCAGGTATTAATGTAATGAAAGCTGCATTGTGAAAAAAAAAAAATTAAATTTGCAATAACTTGCTAAATCTTATATAAAAGAGAAGTATTCTTTTTTTTTTTTTTTAAATTGTACTTACCTAGGTGGATGCAGCATTAATCCAATGCTGCATCTTTCCCCCCACTAGCTCTAAAGCAGGCCATACATGGGTCGAATTCAGAACGATTTTTCTATCGAAACTCGAAAACATCATTAGCTCTGTAATCCGGTGGTGCCACCAATGACTTCAAAAAATCGTCGTTTTTCACGAATTTTCCAGCATGCCCAATAAACAAATGGGGAGAAACTGCGAAAATCGGCAGGTGCCATTGCCCCACTAACAGAGCAAAAATTGGCCGATTATTCTTAGGTCCAATTTTTGAACTAAAAATCGATCGAAAATCGACCCATGTATGGCCGGCTGTAGGCTGAACGCCGCTGATTGCTCAGTTCTGTCCATTGCTCTGAACAAAGAGCAGTAACTGTCTCGGGATCTCTGCAACGCCCCCCCCCCCCCCCCAAGGTTCACTGGAGCACTGGGCTGTGGGAGGTGGGAGCAGTTGGCTCAGGCTCACTGAGAGGCCGGTCCAGGCTCCTGACCATATGGTCATGATCGTTCCCCAGCCTGGATCGGCTCTGTGATATCAGCCAACAGTAAACTTTAGCCCGCTATCTGTTGAAAACGGGTCACAGGAGTGCAGAATGGACTGCACTCCTGAGATCCACAGGAGACGTACAGCCTAACGAGCTTTGGCCATACTTCTCCTTTAAGTGATTGGTTTTACATACTGTACATTTAAAAGGTACATATAGATCAGCTAGAAACTGCAAGCAAATCTATCATCTAAATTCAATATTTATAAAGTCCTTGTTCACAGCGGCGTACATGAGCATGAGCAGGGGCGGACTGACAACTTATGGGGCCCCCGGGCAATAGGGGATCATGGGGCCCCTGTGTCCTTGCCCAAACTCAAAAAAAGCCTATGAAATAGGTACCAGGGGCATCTCATGGGGCCCCCTACTGACCCCGGGCCCTCGGGCAGTGCCCGAGTTTCCAAATGGTCAGTCCGCCCCTGAGCATAAGCGTATTTCCGTGTAAAGGATCATGTTTGCCCACAGACCTTATACTTGTGCAGGCAGTCCTATTCGTGTCAACTGGGACACACTGGCTGCATTGACACAGCTGCTCCCAATTTAACAGAAGTGTTGTTGGGGGGGCATTTGAGAGTCTGTCCCCAAATGCAGTGAGAGTTCTGGGGCACAAGCACCCATGAGCACCCACACAGCTGTCGGATTGGGAGCAGCGGCTGTGTCCGTGCAACCGCTGTGTCCCAACTGACATGAATAGGACTGTCTGCACGGAGACAGAACACTTGTGCATCCCGTATGGGCAAACATGGCCCTTCACACTGGTGTATGCTTAAAGTGGATTTCCACCCTGCCCTCCCTTTTAAGAAAGAAAAAAAACTACTTTCCTGGTGTGAGATCTGTGGATCCAGCGTTGTCCAGCTGAGACCCTTCTTCTCTTCTGGCAGCGCTCAGTTCCATGCCGCCATGATTTGGTATGACATCATCGAGAGGCTGCTGGCTGTTCTGGTTCAACTGGCGGGCCTGCCGGTGACACGTCACTAGGA